TAAAAACCTGGATGTCGGGCTAACTGCCACTGCATGAACACACATGTAAATCACTTCTTCATCTCTCATCTCGTAGTGTCTAACTTCACGGAAAAGAAATAAACCAGATCCCCTCATGTTGCGTTTCTGAGGGACAAAAAGGCAAAAAAATGAAAAAATGCATTTTTTGTTTCATTTTTCAGCCACTGTAATACATTATCACTTGGTTAGAATCATGCAAAACTATACATTTTCTAAAGGACAATGTTATTAGGTTGGTGCAAAAATAATGACGTAATAATGTCGTTTTTTGACGTTAAAAAATACGTCAAAAAACGATATTATTACGTCATTATTTTTTGCACCAACTTATACTAAAAGGGAAGAAAACCTGAAATAAAATGTCTTAAACCATTGAAAGAAGTCATAAGCAAGTGGTGAAAATGAAATTTTAAAAAATTTTGGCGGCAAATCAGTGCCTTACAAATCAATGCGCACCATTTGGGAAAACTTTTCAACCAATAATTATTTGCATATTTACGTTTGAACTAATGAATGTTAAAAAATGATGAAAATTTGGATAAAACCGGAAGAATTTTAAGGCTTAACCCCTGATGAATCTTTCCGGAACGGACCAAATGTTCAAATTTCTGAAAAAAAAAAAAGCAATTCTTAGAATATGTAAAGTGTTTAGGGAACGAAAATGTAGCGACCGTGCTGCTCAAAAATGATGCAGCTGTTTCTTAATTTGGACTAAATTACTCGAAGGTCACGATTAAGGTCAATAAGCATTGATAACAACAAGCGGAACACATGGGTTGGATGGATAAATTGTCGTCTAAATTACGCAAAAATAAAAATAACACTGATATCTGGGAGCTAGCGTGTGCCTAATTGATCATCATTTCTAGTCTATCCTCTTTTACTATTCGGTTCGCTATTTCTATTATATCTTCTATTACTATATGGATAAAAAAAATAGTTAAATATTTTTCTATTGCTGACAGATTTATTTTTACTCTAGTGGAGAGTTCTGGGGTTATTGGCCCTCGTCCGTTGGCGATCCTTCAAAGGGTTGGCGCGATTGCGTCTCGATTAAGGAACGAGCCTCGCGAAACGGAGTAGCTCTTGCAGCGTGTCTCACTGGCGATGGTGCAAGGTAATGCTTTCTCCATCATTGCGACTGGCAGAGGATAGCAAAAGAAAAAAAAAATAAATGTAAAAAACATTTTGTTTTTTTATTTATAGATATTTTGTTTAAAATAAACACTGACATCACATTTTACCAAAATTCCACAAACATATCTTGAAATACCAAAGCGTAAACTCGTTCAATAAAATCGCCATTGGCTGCAACTACGCCCTCCATACGACTTCGGAATCTCCTGCATTCTGTTTTACAAATACTTTCATGGCAATTGCTCCGAGGAGCTGCATTCGCTGGTTCCCAGACTTCATGAGTTCAAGCGCCCTACGAGGCTGGCCTCCCGCTCTCACCCCTTCACTGAAAACTGAAACTCCTAAATGTAGCCGTCCCTTCTACTCCAATAGCTTCATGTCTCGCACCTCTCGCCTGTGGAACTCCCTTCCCTATTCCAGTTTCCCTGAGAGCTATAATCTCCAGCTATTCAAATGTAATGTCAATCGACATCTCCAGTTGCCTTGATCTATCCACTATCCTTCTCCTCATCCTTTCTTCTATCACTCCTATCTGATCTTGCTGCAAACTTTCTGTAACCACTTGCGTCCTAGTGGCTTCCCGCCTTGCTTGGGGTGAAACGCTTAAAAAAAAATTCTTCTTGATAGCCTTCTTGTTTAAGTTGGTGGATTCTGCCATAATCCTTGCCTTCAGTTCATCCTTGATCGTACAAAGAGTTTTGTTGGTCTCTCGCTCAACTGCACCCCACACATAATAATCAAGGGGGGGTTGCAGTCTGGAGAGTCAGGTGTCCGGATATAAAGGGTGATGAAGTGGAAGAAACTGCCTGACAGAGACGACTGGGTTCTTCTACTTGTATGGCATGGTGTAGAGTCCTGTTGCCAAACATACGGTCTTCTTGCAGCAACCCTCTTGACCCAGGACAGCACTAGCTTCTCAAGGCACTTGACGTAGGCCTTCGTGTTGAATCTGAGGCCGTATCGGAAGATGAGTGGAGCTATAATGTCACCATCACTAGTGATCACTCCAAACAACATGGTTGACTAGATATATCATCCAGCTCTTTCCGAATCCTCTGCATTATCCTCAGATTGACACACAACAACATTCTGAAATGTTCGTATTGGGGCTTCCAGTGCAAATGCCAGTCAGCTTGCCGTTTCCAAATTTCTGGCGAAGCGCAGTGCGTCATGGTGCTCTTTTTCTCACAGACGGTGCCCAACAGACCTTACTATACTGTCCAGTCGACAAAATGAAAAACAAACAAACCACATGCGCGAAATTAAAATATAAAGCAGCGACAATTTACCCATCGCACCTTGTATTTACTGCTGAACTACATTAGACAAAGCTGTTCCCTACGAACATACGCTTTTAAGAAAGCAATCAGAAAAGAACAACTCTTTGGTTGCGTAACGGTTATCGGTGCCAAAAGTAGACATGCTGAAACGAAATCCAGTTACAGTATAAAAGAAATTAGCAACCCTGTTTTTGGGACGTAATTTCAGATTGGGCGTTTCTTCCCTCTACACCGGTTTCTTGGTAATTATCGTTGTTTTCTTCCCTGTATCCCGTTCGTCCGTCCTATGACAACTGCACATATCGTACCTATAAAAAGAATACCCGCTCGGCCCGGTGGCTAGGATCAAAGTGTAGTATCTGCGCTTTGTGAGCTGCCGGGTCGGGTGTCTGTCGAACTCTCTGCTTGCAGAGAGGAATCCGGACGAAGCCCCGCCGAAGGGTAGGGTTTCGTTGGGGGAGGTTGACGGAACTGGCCCGCCTCGGTGGGTTTGGATGGTTATTTATTTTTGGCTGGGCCTACGGGCTCAGAGATACCCACATTAAAAAGGCCGTGGGTGGATTGATAAATACCATCGTACAATGTACCCCGACAGAAGACGCCTCAAATCTCCACGATTGTCTGCTAATGATCGCGAGTCACCAATCACTTGCCCGGATGATAAACATACAAGACATACGGGCACCTCAGAACGGAGCACTAACACACCCGGATGTTCCTCATCGATTCCGTCCTACTACGCTAATATAATGTAAAGTTGCTAATGACCCAATTTTTTGTGGGGCAACAAAGAAAGGTAACTTTTGACGGAACGACGCACTCGCCTTCTTTCAAATTGAAGTCCTACATTCCAGACAAAGACGAACTCTCTTTCGTCGAGAATAAGGCAAGACTTGTTCACCATTTCTGCCATTTGACTCTACTTCTGGTTCACTATGCCTGCTACAAGTATCCTGACTACTGATTTTCCTTTCGCATTAATGACAATAACAATCGTAATATCAGCTGTTTCCTTATAAGGAAACATTCGACATTCATTGATCTAGCAGTCAGTGTTACTTTGGATTTATATTTATGAAATGTTTACAGTAAAACAATTTTCCACCATTTTTCTCAACTCCAGTAATTCTTATCGTTCTTTCAAGTGTTGATGAGGGGTTCCTCCCTAACGCTTTGTTTCAACTCGTATTGAAGGTCAGCATCTTTACTATGTTATTATTTTCTCTTCAAATAATATGTGTTTTGTGATGCCAACGAATACTCGTTGTCACTTTCGTAATGCTCGTTGAAGTAGAGACTTTGTAATCGCAGATACAACTATAGTAACGCCGTTGAACAATACTGGTGTTAGACGCCCTCAAATAACGCTCGAACTAATAACACTTGCACGATAATACTGGCTCGACAAGTATTTCATATAGTGATCTGAATAGAGAAATAGTGTAGTGAATAGAGTAGAGAATAGTGGTCCGTATAGTAATAGAGGATAGACTAGGAATAGCGATCCATATAGTAATAGAGGATAGAATAGAAATAGCGAACCGAATAGTAAAAGAGGATAGACTAGAAATGATGATCAATTAGGCACACGCTAGCTCCCATATATGCGTTTCCTCTATGGCCACGTGGTCTATTTAATTCAATAATGGAATCGCCTGTGTTTGTTCACCGGCGATCTATGTTCAAACTCAAGTATTAGCAGCAACATTTTATTCCTATATAACAATGTGTTATCCATTTTAGTTGTTGCTGCTGTTGAAAGTCCTCAGCTTATGCAACTTTGTTATTTGGTACAGTTCTTTGTTTGTGATTCTGTAGCGTCAATTCACGAAGTTCGACAAAGGATAGTCTCACTAAAATCTACATGCTTAATTCGCGCGAAGCCATTTCTAACCATTGATCTGACAAAATGGTTGTATGCAGTTTCGATATTTCTGAACAAGTATGGCGCCATGCATGACATCCATACTCCTAGGAAAGGCATGAATCCATATATTCCCCCAAGTATGGGTTAATTATCATTGTTGACCAGGTGTTCGCGCTTTGGATGACAGACAGTGTAAAAGGAAAACACTGAAATCAAAATCGTAAAGAAGGCAATGGGATAACACTCCATCATCTTTCCCTAAAAGCCATGCTAATTCGCAGAGAATAAAAGAAGAGGAAGCTGTGGATAGCCATGATCATCTCTGTCCTAAAAAGCACATACCATTACAAAATATATGCATAATTCAAACTAGTGAGTTTTGTTCTTACTAACAGAGCGTTTCAGTTGATATGGATTTCAGCCTCCCTCGGGTGGTAGGGGAAGAAGTAGCAGAAGAAGAAGAAGAAGAAGAAGAAATAATAATTTATTCCAGGAGGAAAGAATTAAAATAATGAAGACTAATGAATCAAACAAGGACAAAAAATTAATGAGATACTCAACACAAAACACAAATTGCAATAATAACAACAACAACAAAATAAAATATAACAAAAGAGCAAATAATTAGAGAAAAAGGCTGTGCTGAAATCAAAGCCTCAAAGAGACACGGAATAATGAAATATGGATTCAACGCCATGGCAGATGGTAGTGTGAGTCTCGTAGTTAACCTCAGCCGTATTACCTCCTGTCGCCCCACCAAGAAAGACGGTTCGGTCTACTTTCACTTTCGTTTTCGTTGTTCACTCGTCAGTCAGTCATTAATTCTCCAAAACTCTTCATTAAATCCATCTTTTTCTGGCTAGGACATATGTTGCTAAGTGCTTCCTATTTTCTGTCGGACAAAATAGCCATTACAGGGTTTAACTAAAAAAAAAAAAAAAGAATCCACATTTTTCTTCAAGTTTTTTTTCTTTCCTCAATTCTTTTCTTCTTTTTTTTACCTACATGTTTTTTCTTTTTCTTTTTTTCATTTTTTTAGTTTCATTGTATTCGTCTGATTGATCGTTCTTCCTTCCCTCCTTCTTTTCTTTCAGTTTTATCCTCATTTCGTGAACTCATTTTATTTTATTTTTTTCTAGTTTTCTTACTTCTTTTTTGTTGGACTTGAAATTTCTTTTTTTTCTTCTTCTTTCTTTCTCTCTTTCTTTCTTTCTTTTTTACTTTTTCCTTACTTTCTATTTTTTTATTTTTTCTTTATTTCTTTCTTTCTTTATCCTTCCTTTCTTTTTTTTCTTTCTTTCTTTCTGTTTTCATCTCTGATTTTTCATTTCTTTTCTCTCATTTTTCTATTCATTTATTTATTCATTGCTTTACATTATTTTAGGTTGAGTTTAGTAAATACCTATAAACAACATTTGATTTCTTTCTTTCTTTCATTTCTTTCTTTCTTTTGTCTTCTTTCCTTCAGTTCTTTCTTATTTTCGGCATCTCCTTTTTTCTTTCTTTTCCCTCATCTTTCTATTCATTTATTTTTCATTGTATTACATTGTTTTTACGTTGAGCTTCGTAAATACCTATATAAAAATACCTTTCTTCCTTCCGTTTTCTTCCCTTTCTTTCTTTTTTTCTTTCTTCCTTCATTTCGTTCTTTATTTCTGTTTTTCATTCATTTTCTCTCATCTTTCTGTTCATTTAATTTTAATTGTTTTACAATATTTTCTGTTAAACTTCGTCAATAACGATATAAAAACATTTCTTTCTTCTTTTCTTTCATCTCTTTCTTTCTTTTTTCCTTTTGCTTCATTTCTTTCTTTCTTTCTTTCTTTCTTCAACTCCGTTTTTCATTCATTTTCTCTCATCTTTCTATTCATTTATTTTTTTCATTAATTTAGAATGTTTTCAGGTTGAGATTCGTAAATACCTATATAAAAGAAAAATTGAATAAAAAAAAATTGAGAATTTATCCCAAGATTACCACGATTCGAAATTGATGCTTCCCACACATAAAACATAACATTCAAATATTAATTTTCACTTATCAATTTCTTTTATTTGACAAAAGGAAAAAAATCAGTAGTTTATAAATAGAGCAAATCTTGTATTTTTTTTATTATATTCGATATTTTTCAGTCGATATTTAATCACCTTCCAACAAGTAAAAGTATGCCACAGGGTCGTTGATCCCACACGTTTTGCATGGGAAGTCGCCAAAAGTTCCTTAATCCGCTAATATATTCCTGCAACGATTGGGTGTTCCCACTTTGTTAGGGCTATGAGTTTTTGATCAAGGTTTAGCATGACTTTTCGGAAAGCAGAAGTAAATATCATTCACTTTCGTTTTTTCAGAGAATTTGCTTTTCTTATCTTTTATTATCTTCACTTTTCTGTTTGTTTTTTTTACGTCCTCATTTTCACACGAGAAGGAATTAAGATCTTTTTTTTCATGAATGCTTCAACGAAATGCTAAATCCTTGTGAAATTCACAATCCTCATCTCATATCTAAAGATGCTTCATCGAAGACATTGTTGAGGCTGGCATTTCTCTGCTGAAATTAGAAATAAGATATTTTTTCAATAAAATGGCATTTACAAAAAATATTTCTGCGTCAACCTAATATCTATCTATCTATCTATCTATCTATCTTTATTTGTATTTATCTATCTCAGTTGATTCTTATCTATCTTTGCATATTCTTGCCTATCTCATTTTCATATTTATTTATAGTTTTCTATCTATCTATGTATCTATGTATCTATCTATCTATCTATCTATCTCTCTCTCTCTCTCTCTCTCTCTCTATATCTGTATATATATATATATATATATATATATACTGTCCTAAGACGATAAACTACGTCCAACAGCAAGGATTCTGACCAGGTTTTGAGGAGTGTTGAACCACTTCTTATTTGCTGGTGTTTCCAGGTCCTGACCCCGGGTGGTAGCACCTGTTAGGGCCCCAACTATGGGTAAATAGTTAGCCCCCAAACTGGGATTAAAACAACGTAAGTGTAAAAATAGGATTTAATACCAGAAATAAAAATAAATTATTATCAGCAATAAATTTTGAAAAAAAAAGATATTAACAACTATACATTTTTGAAGAAAAAATATTACCAAAAATAAAAATTTTGTCGGCTTTAAATAACCCATTCAGTTTGATATGCCGTAAAACAAACCAAACCAAACCAAACGATCACAGTATTTTCATATCTATCGACATTGTCAGACTATATCTATCTATCTATTTATCTATCTATCTATATATATATATATATATATATATATATATATATATATGTGTAATGTATATATGTATACATATATATATATATATTCATACCCAATTATACATATTTATTTATCTATCTATCTATCTATCTATCTATCTATCTATCTATATATATATATATATATATTAAAAAGAAGAGGGGTGCTTGCAAAAAATATTATACGTTTTTGGTTGACACGTGTTTTGAGAAAAAATATTATTTTGTTTTACATCTATGAAAGTGGAGATTTTTACTATTATTAAAAAAATAATTAATTTTTCTTCATGTTCAATGTGGAATATTCTCGATATGAGACATTCTGTTGTGTGTTGGCAATCCGATTTTCTATCTAAACGTTTGCGGCATCTATCTCTCGTTGAACCATCTATTTCTTTATATATATATATATATATATATATATATATATATATATATTCATACCTATTTACTTCTTTCAGTCTATTCCCATCTATCTATTTATCTATCTGTTCGTACCTATTTACATCTTTCAGTTTATTTCCATCTATCTATCTATATATCTATATACCTATCTGTCTGTCTGTTCTTACCTATTTACAACTTTCAGTTTATTTCTATCTATCTATCTATATTTCAGTTGAGCTTTCTGGGGAGGAAGTGTGAGTTTGTAAACAGTGACTATTACGGCTAATAATGCAAGACTCTTCGGTAAATCGAATTGAGTTCTCTCAGTCACTGTGTGTTTATCTAAAAATAAGTACACTTAAAATTCACTTTCATCCGTGTCGTGCGCCAATAGCTTAGTGGTAGAATCCCCGACTGACGCCAATTCGATCTGGTTTCGATCCTAACTAGAGGCACCCGGATGTCTAGCCACACTGTTGAGCTATGATACAGCGAAACAGTCTGTCTGTGGATGATAATATATATATATATATATATATATATATGTTCTGGTTCAGATTTTATTTTGTAACATGTATAAATGTCCATAAAATTTGTTGATTAGAATCAGCGGGCTACACTTACGTACAGATGAGTAAGATATCTCGAAACTAACGTTGATTGAAGGAGCACAATTACACTGTGGCACAAAGAAAGTTTTAGCCAAAAACACAATTTTCAATATAATAAACAACATTGGCTATACATTGTCGAAGTGGTCTTCATCTCTTGGATTAACATGGCTTTTCGGGCACATCGCTGCGGTTATTACTGATACAAATTACAAAATTCTAACTGTTTTTTCGTCTACTGTTTGCTGTCCGTAAACATATAATAAGCAAGAATGAATGTCAATGAGACAAAATATAGATATCTGGTACTTGCTTCATATAGTAGATGCTAAAGGCAATAATAATCTTCAAAATTCATTTAAGTATTGCATTAATATTTAAGCTTACCTTTTAAAAGTTCAACGATAATTCTTCTGACGCTAATTAATTTCAAGACAATTTGATGTTCGTAGGTCCTTACTTTCCGTACAAACAATTATTCTTATTTCATGTGCGACTTTCGCTGGATTTCGCAATCAATTTTGATTATTCCCAAATTTATTTCCAAGTTATAAAAATTGTTAGCGTACAAATTTTATTATTTTGAAACATTGTAATTTGAGAACAGAAATGTTTTTTCATTTGAACATGAGCTATTGAAAGTTAGAGAGTTGGAACTTTTTAATTGTTTTTATCAGTAGAAGCCAAGATGGTAGAATCCGAAAACAATCATAATAATGAAAATTTGGGAATCCAAAGTTTCAGGATTGCGGATCAGGATCCTGCTTGGGATGTTTCAAGATGCTCACCGAGCCGGCCTGATTCCAAAATCTGATATTCCAAAAATGATATGTTGAACTACGCCTTCTAGGAATAAAGTTGAAAAAGTGTGACACGCTGACATTCGCATTTTTAATATATAGATATACACACAGATTTATATATATATATATATATATATATATATATATATATATATATATGAAATTTGGTCTGTTTAATGAGAATAAACATTGGGCGCTATTTTGTGAGTCAGTTTTAACATATTTTTAAATTCTATGTTTTGTTAATAGGACTCACCTAGATTATACCAATGGATTACTATATATATATATATATATATATATATATATATATATATATATATATATGTGTGTATGTATATATATATATATATATATATATATATATATATATATATATATATATATATATGAAATTTGCTGTTTAATGAGAATAAACATTAAGTTATATTTTGAGTCAGTTTTAACATATTTCAAATTCTATGTTTTGTTAATAGGACTCACCTAGATTATACCAATGGATTACTATATATATATATATATATATATATATATATGTGTGTGTGTGTGTGTATAGTGTTTTTAATCTGTATATATATATATATATATATATATATATATATATATATATATATTAAAATTTGCTATATTGATGGAGAAAGACTGCTAACTATCGGAGATACAGCTTTTATAGATATAGACAGTGTGGACAGAAGAATCACCATTGAATGGTGACTGTCACTTTCACGCCACAAGTGATGGTTATAGATATAGTTTAACGATAAATAGATATAAACATGCATGCATACATGCATAGATAGTTAATTTCATACGTAATATGCATATTATTCTATGTTATATATAATGTATATATTATATATAATTTTACGATATATACGCGAAGTATGTATTTTTATATACTATATATATTTTTTACTATTATATTTATATAAGACTGAGATAGATTGATATGATTATACTGAGACAGATTGATGTAATATTGAGAAAGTAAAAAGGGGCATTTGTACAATTTTTGTCGAATTAACAAAGTTTATAAAATCAACAACAACAACAACAACAACAACAACAACAATAATAATAATAAAGAACCTTTTCTTATAAATCTCAAAATGCCTTTGTATCTCTAATAAGTAAGAGTCTTGAAAAGCTATCGTGCTTGTGATCAATATTTAATTAGCGCAGGATTAATTATCAAAGATTTAGTTATTATAGCAACGCTTATTTATATTAAATAGTTTCATCGCCGTCGTCTCTCTCGCCCTCTCTCTCTCTCCCTATCTCACTTTCTCGCTCTCTCTCTCTCTCTCTCTCATTCTCTCGCTCCAGCCTTTCTCTCTCACTCACCTTCTCATACACATTCTCACTCGCTCACTGACATCTCTCGCTCTCTCTCGCTCTCACACTCGCTCATCTCTCCCTCATACCCTCTCGCCCTTACTCTCTCTCCGACTCTCTGTCTCTTATACACACATATTTTAGCTGTCATAATTTTTCACGCCCATAATCGCCCTGATCCCGAATAAACCATGATAATTGAGTGTTTTTTTCAAGTAGATAGCTAGTGGCATTGAAATAGAAAAAAAACCCCAAAAGGACAACAAAAAAGGACACAATTGCGAATGACGCCGACACAGAAACGACAATAGGGCGACGGGAACAAACGTATCAGAACAGGTTTTGATTAATGAAACGTCTATACACACCTAAATACAAATACCACACCCTATATATATATATATATATACAGAGAGAGAGAAAGAGAGCATTAGTTTCATCTTCAAGCGAATATTGTTCAAAGATGAAACACAACTAATGCTTTTTAACTTAATTATAGAATTAAATTTGAAGTTTTAGGTTAGGTTTTGAAACATGGTAATTCCTGTGTAGCGAAGAAACCATGTTTTAAATCGGTTAATTTATAATACACACACACACACACACACACACACACACACACACACACATATACATATATATATATATATATATATATATATATATATATATGAAGAAACGTCTTGGCGGCGGGGGAATGGATTAAAAGGTTACCTTGTGACGCGTTTCGGTCTTTATGAGTTCCTCGGTCAAAATTTGTCAAGTTGTAATGGTCCGTTCTCAGTAGTGGATATGCATTGATTAGTCCCAAAAAGGACGAGACGGCTGTCCAGTGCTTTCTGCATTCTGTTAAGGATTCTTCCAGACTCGATGAATTACTATAATGATTATTCTATTCCCCAAAATTTGTATATCTGGTGTAACCTCGTGAAGGTTACTGAATAGATTAATCACACGAAGGTCGGTAATGAACGATAACAATTAGGACAAGAACAACACATAAAAGATACGCCAGCGGCGCGTAGAAGAAGTAGCTAGAAGTGAATCAAGTGAATTCCACAATGGCTCTCCAACTGCCGAACAATATACATTATTTACTACTGTATTTATGTGAATGGGGTCATGACTATTATCGCCCGTAAGCATGCTACAATAACCTTGCTGGATCCAGTTTCTAATGCTCTGGAGGGAGCAGATTGGGGAAAGAAGACGTGGCTCTTGCGGCACCAAGCCGTTGGGTTTCGAATAGTTAGATGAGTATCACCACGGGACTTAATGAGTAGCGGAGCTATATTGAGTCGATTCAGCTTCTATTTTTGTCACTGAGTCCAGTGGTATGACGCTGGCGTGGTATTGTAACGGTCCGGTTTCGATTCTCGGTAGTGGATGTGCACTGCTGATGAGTCCCAAATAGGACGGAACGGCCGTCCAATGGTTTCTGCATTCTGCTGAGGATTGTTATAGATTTCTTGAATTACTATAAGTGATATATATATATATATATATATATATATATATATATATATATATATATATATATATGTTTGTGCGTGTGTGTCTGTGTGTGTGTGCGTGTAGTTAATTTAAATGAAAAACGAAAACAATACGAGCATAATAGCAAAAAACAAAATTTATTAAAAAGCGCGCCATGATCGCCAACATCTTAAAGGTGTAAAGGCAGATAAAAGAAAAGGAATAAAAGTTTGATCATACACACACACATACTCATATATATATATATATATATATATATATATATATATATATATATATATATATATGTGTGTGTGTGTGTGTGTGTGTGTGTGTGTGTGTAAAGTCAGTGTATGTGGCTCTGTCTGAAAGACATTGAGCACTGTATTCAAAAAATCAACGTTAGCCTCCTATTTCATTTGAATGGTTAATCGTTCATATATATTTATATCTATATCTATATGTATATATATTATAAATTTATAAATATGGTTCTATGTAAATTTATAATATTTGTGCCCTGTAGATTTGAATTGAGCACTGTTTTTGAAAATAAAAATATTAACAAGAACACCGGATTATATATCTTACTGTTCTTTTCTTTTTGTTTCATATATATATATATATATATATATATATATATATATATAACGATCAATTGTTTTGGTTATTCTTAAGTATATATATATATATATATATATATATATATATATATATATATATATATATATATATATTCAAGAGTAGTGGTAGGTTAAATTGTCAGCTCTGAGAGATTTGCTATTGAGTCAGGACTCAATGGTAGCGTCATCTGCATATAGTGGAGTGCTCGAAGCCTAGATTGCCTAGATAGACAGAAAAACACTTAAGAACGTTAAATCCTATGAATTTGAGAGTAAAACTCAGGTTAAGACTAGGCCATCAGTACATAGCATATATATATATATATATATATATATATATATATATATATATATATATATATAAAAAGGCTTAAACACTAATATTCCATGGTCATAATTTATTCCATTGGAATCGTAAATACGATCCCATTCATCAGACCTACAAATTCAAAAAAAAGAAAAAAAAAAAAACAACTCGAAATAAAAAGAGAATTTAGAGAGAGTGTAAGTATGAGGAGGAGGGAGATTGAACCTTAACAGAGAGAATTTTAGGAGAGGTGTGAAGGGGTTTACAAGAGAAAATGAATTTTTCGGATGTCTAATGCATCAAGATACATTTCGTGGTGCCATACACACACCATAGACAATCTAATGTTAGATAAGAGGAGGGGAAAGACGAGGTGGGGGAGAGAGATGGGGAAAGGAAAGTAAAATTGCGTTTACTTAAAGGGCTGCTTTGTAATTGAGAAAATTTGACAAATTTAATATCGACTACAGGTTACAAATCAAATATAAACATATAAAAAATGAGAGGGTGTTCTAATCCACAGGGATTGCCTAGCCACCTTATAAGACTGCTGCAATCAGCCTTATACTTCCATAGTAGTAGTACTTCAACAAAATTTGATAGCTTTTAAGCAAAGGATACACATCTCGTATCGGATAATTTCAGCGGATCTACAACACACCAAAAATAGCACAGGATTTTTAGTAATTATTTTCATTTTCTGAAGAAGGCATTTCGCACTTCGGTTTTCATGAAGCTGCACTTGATGCTGGTGACTGGACATCTGAAAGATTGTCGTATCCGAACGGTAAAAAAAAAAAAATCTCTACATATTTCTGATGTTTGTTCATTGGATTTCATTTTGTAAAGTGGGTGGTACCAACATCATTTCGGCATTTATATATGTGATGTTGTGCACACCCACAAACGCGCATGCTTACATGAACGGACGAAACAGATAGATAGATAGATAGATAGATAGATAGATAGATAGATAGATAGATCTTATATTATTGTCTCTCCTTAATAGTTTCATTTACTCATATTCTCTAACATTCAGAAACCCCCCTCCACTGCGTCTTAATGGCTTTATTGCCTTGCGTGGGGTGAAATGGTTGGTTGCTTTTGTTTAGCAGCGTATTAACATATTGAGTTTTTTTTACATGCTGAAATCTAAATATTTTATACGTAATTTTATTTTTATTTTTTGGAGGTAATAATGGTTTAAGTGATACAATTCTAACTATTTAACCCATAGCTTGGGGGAAGAGGTAGATTCATACCTTTCCCAACAGTATTTTCGCGTAAGTGGAAATAACGAACCCAAATAGAATTGGGACTCGGCTCTCCGATTAACAATAACAAGACATTATCCATTGCACCACCCACACCTGCTATTCCGAAATGGACATCCATTTAAGTAGCGACCCTGTTCGACTTTGCTTAACTCCAGTGATCGTAGGGGAATAGATAGATCAGTTTCATGCCTGGAGCGATCTTAATATGACACTTTTATTGCTGCTATGAACTTTAGTGATTTCAAACTTCCTATTTATATTATTTCTTTTAATTTATTTCTTTGATGGTACTTTATATTTTTCACTCATATATATATATATATATATATATATATATATATATTATTATTATTTTTTTATTTTTATTTTTTCAACAATAAAAAAAATATTAAAAAAAATTAAAATCTCCACATATATACTGGGTTGTAGATTAATATTCTTTCGTTTTTTTTTTATTATTTTTCATTTAGATTCGTCGACGAGTTTCGGCCAAAATGGCCATCATCGGGAGAAAAATATTTCTGCTTTCTGGTAGCAGTAACTTAGGTGCCCCATATATATATATATATATATATATATATATATATATATATAAATACAAAATAGTATAACAACTAGTATATCCCTTCCTACTTAAATAGGAGCTTTAATGATCTTGTTTATTTCATGTTCTATTTATTGTTTTAATGTCACACACACACACACACACACACACACACACACGCACACACAGAGACAGATATATATATATATATATATATATATATATATATATATATATATATGTCTGTATGTTTGTGTGTGTTTGTGTGTATTTTAATGGTGAGTTTTTTAAAAGGTGATTTTAAATTTGCGACTGAAACCAAATAATTTAAAACTACCGATAAACCCGAAATCTAAACTAGGTACATTGATGACATTTACAGTTTGATAAAAATAAAGATGAAATCGCAAAGCTAAACTCACCTTTAAAAAAAAAATAGCCATTTCTTTCCGATATTTCTCTCGAAATCGCTCCACAACTAAAGAAGAGATGCATTTTCTCTGAATATATGTTTCTGTTCTTTTCTGTAAACTCTTCTTGCTTTTATTACTACATAGATAAATAGATATATATAGATATATATATATATAGATAGATAGATAGATAGATAGATAGATAGATTTGAGTGAATCCGACAGTCACTTTGCAGTACTGATTGGTATGTTCCAGCGGTCTATATATTAAGAATTATTCCCATACAAATATTGTAAATTTTAGACATTAAACATGCTCAGTTACACATTTGCATCTTTCTCACACTCACTGTATATATATATATATATATATATATATATATATATATATATATATATATATATATATATATATATATATATATTTATATTTGTTTATTTGGACAGCTGAGAGCTTTCGTTTAATCAATTACCAATTATCAAGTAATTTTTTTAAAATCAGAATGTATATGTTTATATATGTGTATCTATAGTGTTTGCGAAGGATTAAC